TAAGGACGGATCGAGCAAGAAGGGGGCACGAAAAGGGGTTGAAAAGAAAAAAAATGGAGGGGTGAAAGAGAGGCGCGGATAGAGATATATTCAGAGAGATGCAGCCGGCTACTTTGCGTCGCTGCACGAAACCCTACGCGACGCTGAATTTACATAAGCGGCTTTTCTCCGGGGCGGAGCCTTTCTCTCTTGGTCCTAAGCAAATATTGACTGCGACCACTTTCATCTCTCCTCGCCACCTGTCACTCTCAAATGACGCGTGCTTGATACCTGGCGTGATACCTGAATGCTTATTATAATACGCGGGCTGACGAGCCGATAAGTAGAAGAGAACAGCTAGCAGCAATAAGCTCCTCGCGCGTTGTCCGAGCGGACTGTTCCGTTTAGACTGCGGAGCACGCGTACGACGCGTGATTCAAGTGTAAATTTCTTCCCTTTCTCGACGAGGGAAGCGAAGAAATCTATAAGCTAAAGATAGAAAGCTGCTGTTTGTATTTTTTTCTTTTTCTTTTTTTTTTTTTTTTTTTTTTTTGAAACAGCCTGCAACTCCGTTGACACGATTATTAATATATTAATTAATTAATGATATGATTATTTTTCTTTTCTTCTTCCTTGCTTTTCAGAACGCAAGCTGTTCGTTGGCATGCTGTCGAAGAAGTTCACGGAGAACGACGTTAGGAACATGTTCAGCATTTACGGAACCATCGAGGAATGCTCGGTGCTGAGGGACAGCACCGGAAAAAGTAAAGCCTGTGCCTTCGTTACCTTCGCTAGTAAACAATACGCCATCAACGCCATTAAGGTTCTTCATCACTCGCAAACGATGGAGGTGAGTGGAATTGAAACGTGCAATTGTTCCCTCCTTCTATCCTTGCTACTTAACTCTTGCCGCCACAATGTGTCCTTCCCCTGTTCCGATTGTCCTTAAAACGACGAAGACAATGGCACTTTGTTACCGGAACTTTGCTTCTTCCCATTCAAGGCTGGCTCTTCAATTCGCGAGGAAATTCCCCTTTATTCCCGGTTCTTCTTCAGTTGTACGCCAGTTTTTATACAGAATTCGTGTCGCTCGTGCGAAGACAAACCTAACCTATAGGGGATGTACGAATCCAACAGCGCGAAGGAATATAACTGAATGAATAGACATTTTTTTAACACGACAAAAAAATATTTCGTGCCTTCTGTCTTATTGAATTAAGTATTCTTTCGATTGAACAATTTCCCTTCTATGGGCCCGTGTAACTTTCAAGTTACACTTTCCTCCACAAGATGGCGTATACGTTTTATTGTACAATGTCTCCTTATGAACCAGTAACAATCTCTATTGTGAAATGTTCAATTGCTTTAGCAAGTTGTCTGCTGAATTCATTGTTCATCTGTATTTATACGTTGATTTTACGCTACATAAATTTTTCTATATAGTCAAGAAAAGTATTCGGCCTATAGAGGGTTAATAAAAGTTCTTTCCTTAAGGGAGGATTTTTCTAAACTTGATGACGCTCTTACTTTTACTTCCATTTCCCCCCCCCCCCCGAATCGTCGGAATTCATTTCTGTTGAATTTCTTGCAAAGAGATGTCACCTAAGATTCATAATTTTATTCTTTTTGGAGAATATTATTTCTTATTCCTGACATTGAGCATAGTGACGAAAGCTTTGTAATTGGAATGAATTCCTTTGTAAAGTAGCACGATTAATTCTACATGGAAATAACAGTTGCACACTTTAAACGAGAGTTTATCCCTCCTTCGTCGCAAAAATGTGCACATATTTTCATCTCGGAAATGACATTCTTCTTCAGCAACTTTATAGAGAGGGTGCTACTGTATATATATACGCTGAGACTGAATCTTTCTCTGCGACAGCAGGTATTCTCTATCGTGATTTAATTTCTAATTAACTTTGTTATCCACGGCTAATCTCTTCGTCGGAGATTAATTTCGTTTCGGGACCGATGTGTCCTGATAACGCAGAGCCTGAAAGAAACTTTGCATCCTTGCCAAAGTTTCATCCATCATTTAACGTGGGACGCATCCTGTGCTAGTAAAGACAGGCCTTGCCTAGTTGTTGCACACGATAAAGATATAAGAGAGAGAGAGAGAGAGAGAGAGAGAGGAACGCGATACTTGCAAAAAGTATCGATATTCGAAAGTTAGTCGATAATTAACACGTTTCGTGAAGCGTACACAGCGAATTTCCAGTCGAGTCTTTCAAGCAATTTGGAATTTTCATTGTGAAGCGAAGAATTTTTGAAAAATTTGTTACAAAGTCATATATTGTTGACACGTTGAGAACATTGTACACTGCGTTTATCCCATCATGGATCATTTTTCCCGATTTGTTAAGATCGACTAAATTCGATAAGAAGACTGTAAAATATTGTTGTCAAAATAAATATTATTTACTAATGTTTAGTATTATTGTATATAGTATTACATAATTTATGTGGGTGTTTCATTTTAGATTAATTTTGACATCATTGGACATCATTTGTCGTGTAATACATTCGTAAACTCTAGATGAACGCTTTCCTTGGTAATTATGATTTTTGCACTATTGTTAAAAATTGTAAAACGTACTTTAGAAACATTTGAACGGAATTCGACCAAAAATCGGCCCGGCACGGAACCGAACTGTTAACAATTGATAATCTCAGATTAATCAAGATGAATCGCAGGTCGTCAGAAAATATTCGTAATTTTGTTGAAACAAAATAATCCTTCGCGGGATAATGGTCGTTCAAGAATGAGTCGATTTTTTGCACTTCCTTAAATGAAAATTTAACTTTCCAACTTTTTCTCCTTTCACGGACGTCACGTTCTTAGCTTGTTTTAGTCAAAAATTCGCGTTTTCAATAATAAGAATCGTGCGTGCACCAGAGTCAAGATTTTAGAGATGAGCTTTAAAAGAGAAACCGTTGAAAGCATATTCTTCCACATTTGCCAATCCAAATTCTTTTGAGTTGTTAGTAATCGCTAGCTAATTATACGGAGTACGTGTTTGAATTTTCCTCAGTTTCAATTCTCTGAAGATTGACAAATGCAAATTGTACACAATGCTTCACACGTGGAGACGTGTGCTGTGATAAACCGAAGACTCGGAGGAAGATCGCAAGGGATTAATCTCGGTCGCTATCCATTTCGCGCGAACTCTATTAAAGTTCTCAACAAAAGTATCGAGCAATTCGATACTTGGGAAGACAATAGGGCGAGTGCAGAATGAATTCCAAGTGAATTCGCGATGGTGTACGCAACCTGGTAAAACCTAGCCTAACTGCGCACGATGCCCGGTCTCGACCCGGTGAAAGAAAATCGTGCCAAGGCACGACAGCGGCGGCCGCGACAGCAATTCCATTTTGATATCATGAATATTTCCAGCTGCGGATGCCTCGAGCTTTTGCTCGTTGTGGTCGACTTAACTGGCACGATTTCGTGCTTCCCATTGTCTGCCACCATAAACAGTCCTGCATTTCATATTCTCCTTTATGGTCGAAGCAAATCGAAGAAACTATACATATATATAATTTTTTAAATTTATTATTTATATATATAATTTTTTTAATTTATATTATTTATATATATTGTTATTAATTATTATTAGAGCCAAACCTCAGTAATTCTCTTCTACGGACGTTCTGGTTTGATTTTGTTGTCTCTCGGTTCAAAGTTTATTTAACACTTGCCCTCTTTTGTCAGCGAGGATGGTTTTACCTTCTTTTTAAAAGAACCAGCTACTTTGTCAGTAGTAAGTTTCGAACGTGTGCAGAATTTTTCTAAATGAGAAAATATTAAATGGAGAAATTTTCAGTAGAAGATGTTCAAGCGTTATATTATTGTAGACTTTCGATATT